TAGGTCGAGTTCGCGTGTACCGTGAACAGGGTGATGAGTACATATTTTAGGTCTGCCTGTACTAATGTGGTTGCTAATTTTAACACATTTCTTACTATTAGTTCAGTGGATAACAACTATATGGGAAGCCTTAGGACCTTGCAGGCTAGCTAATTAAACCTCTATCTAGTCCTATTATGCTTTTGTTTGGTGACGTCGCTGCTGAGGTAGTGGGCCTTAGCATTTCTCCTGATGCTCCTACCTCTGTTTCTACGTCAGCTATTCTAACGCCATTCCCAGTACATTCACCCTATCCTTCTAGCTAATTTTAACGCAATTATTCCTATTTTTCTCTTGCTATTTACTACCCTTTTAATTTTGCCACTCTAGGTCTCAGAGTATAGGTACCTCCCCTGAGTATTGCCGCCCCCAGGGACTCTATGAATAGTAACACTAACGTGGTGCAGATATTGACCTATCTACAGGTGGTACAGTGCGCTGGTGCTTGTTGTGATGGCTTATCGCTACATGCGCGTCCGTGTGCCTCTAAGCTAGGCCACTGGCTGTGTAGATAACCTGCTACCGCCACATAGGGTGCTTCTGCACCCGCTTCCACCCCCACGCCACAGGGCGGGGAGCGGGCGACAGCTGGCGAAAGGGGGAGGTGAGGGTGTGCCCAAGGGAAAAGAGGGCAGCGGATCAGGGCGGAAGGCGGTTCCGGTGACGGCGGCGCCAGGCGCGCAGCAGTGCAGGGCAACCGTGCAGATGGCTAGCAGGTTCCCAGGTGGCTTGGTCCTCCGGGTAGCCCCGCCACTTGACAAGGTATTGGAACTCGTCGCCGGACCGACGCTGGTCCATGATGTAGCCGACTTCGTACCGATCCGTGGGGTTACCTGCGACATCTCGGGTAGGAGGCCACCCCACAACGGCCTCCTGAGGTTCCAGCTCGGAGGCGCGGGGGCAGTCAGGAACTAACTGGGAAACGTGGAAGACATCATAGCATTCGTACGCAGGGGGTAACGCCAGGCGGTAAGCAACAGTCCCAATGCGTTTAGTAATAATGAAGGGCCCACGGAAACGGGGTTCAAATAGGGCATGTGTTTATGGGGGGAAGGTGCTTGCTACTGAGCCAGACTTTGTCGCCCACCGCATACTCCACTTCGCGGCGGTGGGTGTCTGCGTAGTGCGTTTGTAGACCTTTTGCCTTCAGGATATGACTCTGCGCCCGGTCGCAGAGCTGGCGGAAGAGCTTGGTCATCGGCGGAGTAAGGGTAGGGGAGAAGGCACCGACGGCATCGAGATCCGCTGCGGCCAGGGGGTTCTCGCCAATAATGACCTCGAAGGAGGAAAGCTCGGTGGAAGAATGGCTAGTGATGTTGTACGCGAGCTCTAGGGCAGGTAATAATCGCTCCCATTCGCGTTCGTCAGATTGAATGTAGGTGCGGAGCATTTGTTCGAGCGTGCGGTTTACTCGTTCAGTTTGGCCGTCGCTTTGGGGGTGGTACGAGGAAGATAAAGCGCGTTTGATGTTAAAACGCGTACACAGCTGCTGCCATAGATCTTATTGGAAACGGGGATCACGGTCCAAAATGAGGGCCTTGGGTAGCCCATGATAACGAATAAGGCGATCGGCGAGAACACCCACGGTATCTGCGGCTGTGAATGCCTTTTTCGCGGGGACGAAGTGTCCATCTTACTAAGGGAGTCAACCAACACCAGGATAGAGTCATGTCCCGTCTTCGTAAGTGGGAGGTCGGTAATGAAATCCAAGCTGACGTGGCTCCAGCGACGGGAGGGGAATAATTAGCTGCTGGAGAAGACCGGCAGGCTTTTGGTTGAGGGACTTGGAGGCCCGGCATTGCGTACAGGATTCCACGTAGGTGGTAGCGTAAGTGCGCATGCCGGGCCAATAGTAAAGCTTGCTGAGCGATAAGAACTTTTTCTTCTGACCCCGATACCCTGCTGTTACGTGATCGTGGTGGTTATATAGAATGCGTGTAAGGAACTCAGGAAACTGCGAAACACATATACGCCATAAGCCGTGTATGCAAACGCTGAGGAAAGGGGTGACAAATCTGAAGGCGAGGAGGCGATTGCGGAATTTCACCTGGACGGTTGCACCGACTGCCTTAACCGCCGTGTTGTAGGGGACCCGGAAAACGGGACACTTCGCATAAGCTGCCGGCCAATCCAGGGTTGCGGAATCTGCGGGCTGCACTGGGGGGATGGCGGATGGCTCGGTGCCGTCAGGAGGGGTCTCGTTGGCCTTGAGCGAAACGGGAGGAGAGTGCGGGCGAGTCCGAGGCGGGCGACGACGAATGCTAGCCAACTGCGGGTAGTTGGCCTGCTTTCCCCGGGTGTGAGGAGCTGGATCTGGGTGTGCAGGAGCTAACATAAGCGGAACCAAGGACCCCGAGAGAGGAGGCGGAGATGGGCTGAGCGGGGGGAACGGTTGTGAAGAGGAATGAAAAGGAAGGCGTGACAACGCGTCGGCCACCGTATACGCGCACCCTGTAGATAGATGATAGTGAGATAAGGAAACTTCACGAGGAAATCTAACCACCGGGCGGTGCGTCCCCGCAAGGGCTTGGACGTCTGGAGCTTCCGTAAGTGGGTAAGAGCTTGGTGGTCCGTGCATGCGGTAACCTTACCGACGCGGAGTACGTGAGACCACTTGTCTAGGGCTGTGGCTAGTGCCAACAGGTCTTGATCGTATATCGAATATTTTTGTTGAACGGGGGTCATAGCCTGACTGAGGAACCCAATTGGCAGTCCAGCTTGTTCGAGTACGCCACCAATGGCATAGCCGGAGGCATCGGCGTAGAGCTCAAAAGGCTTAGAGGTGTCTGGGACCTGGCGGGTGGTATAGTCAATGAGACGTTGCTTGAGGTGGCGAACCGCCTGGGTGTGTGCGGCTGTCCAGTGAAAGGGGGTGGCTTTGCGAGTCAGGGTAACGTGGGGGCGGGAAATGTCAGCAAAATCGGGACCCATGAGCATACGACAGTAATTAACAGTACCAAGGAATTGCCGTACTTGCGTCTCGTTCTCCAGCACCTCTGGCCAAACTCGGTTTGCTTCAATCTTCTCTGATGCAGATTTTATCCCTTCTGCGCCGATGGTATATCCCAAATACGTAAGTTCCTGGTGCGCGAATTGGCACTTGCGAAATTTCGGGTAAAATTGATTTGTGAGAAAGATGCTCAACACCTTTCGTAGGAGAGCAACGTGAGAAGGAAGTTCAACGGAGTAGATGAAAGCATTATCAAGATATGCAATAACGCCATGGCCTAGCAAGGGCTGCAAGTAGGTATTTATGCTGGCTTGAAAGGTAGCGGGCGCACCCTTCAGGGCGAACGGCATAACTTTGTGTTCGAACAGGCCCAAGACGGAACGGAACGCTGTCTTCCCGCGATCCGCTTTGGGCATGCGGATCTGGTGGAAGCGTGCGTCTAGGTCGAGGGTGGAAAAATATTTGGCGCCGCCCAGCATCTTGGAGATGCTGGGTGGCGCCAAATATTAGCTCCAAGATCGTTTGGATAGGAGGTAATGGAAAGTCAGGTGCGACCGTAAGCGCGTTTACGGCTTGGTAGTTAACCACCATGCGCATCTTGCTCTCGCCTGTACCATTATTCCTCTTACCGACCATGATCGTAGGCGCGCAGGTAGGGGAATACGTAGGTCCGATCCAACCATGTGCTGACAGTTTGGCGACTTCCTGCTTGTGAAATCGAAGCTGATCAGGAGTCATACAGTATATAGCCGATTTAGCTGGGAGCTTGCAGGGGCTAATTGGATGTGGTGATCATGCGGGCGCTTGGGTGGAAAGCCGGTGGCAGGTTGTCAGGGAAAACTTCTCTATGTGTCTGCAGCAGTTCACGCATCTCCTGTGGGAGGTCCCAGGACTCGAGTGACTGCATCCACGTGTCGAAAAGGGTGAACTCCAGCTTGGCTGTATGCCATGGCGAGTTTTCATCATCCGAGGTATGCGTTATATCTGCTGAAGGTGTAGGGAGGACTTCCGCTGTCTGTCAATTGTAAAGGCTTATAATTACACAGCACAAGACTCCTTGTTGTTCCGCAGGTATCCTAAGGGCAACGGATCCGTCAACTTCGGGCAAACCCAATATCATATTCATACCGTGTAGTGGAGTTCGTAATCTAGGGATGTTGGTTCGTGCTTGTTCGATCGAGGCTTTAAAAGGCACTTTCTTTCCAATTCTTGGTGCGTTGCTTAGTTCGCTTAGGAGGCGACCGTAGAAGGGCAGCGGCCTCCGCTTCAGTCATCTGAGCCACCTGCCGAGCCAGAAGATCGTACGCTTCTTCTGCAGGAGTCCGTTTGGGCGCGGTTTGGCGGTCGTCTTCAGTTGGTTTGTCCATGTGTGTGCGCACTAGGGGCAATTCACACCACCTGCCATCCAGATGCGTTCTCAACTTATCCGATTGGAAGTACCAGGCAACTTTATGTCTCGTCAACCAATCAAATCCGAGGACTATATCACAGGGAACTGGGCCCACTAGATAATCCCCGGTAAAGCATTCACGTCCACACCAGACCCTCAAATTCTCCACGGCTCGATCAATACGCAACTGAGCACCGTTCGCTACGGTAAATACACGCACATCCGAACGTTTCCTCACTTTCAGCTGTAAGGTGTCAACCAATCGAGGGTTGATGAAACTGCGTGAGGCTCCATTGTCTGGGCGCGCCTCACAGGAATGCCCTACCACCTCCACGGGTAGTACGGGCGGCGTACCCACGCTGCACAACATTCCTTCCTTTTTAGAGCCCTCATTGACAACGAGCTCCCGCCACCACGGTGGCAACTCAACGTTTGTGACGGACTGACTGTTTTCAAGGGATACTCCGTCATTCACTTCTCGGCTGTTGTCGGCATCATGCGCCACCTCCCTGTTGCCTGAAGTAGCCTGTGCAGCTGTCCATCGCTCTGCGGACAGCTTCCAACAAGCGGGCGGCCCTAGACCGTCCACTGGTGCCCCTTGCTCCTTATCGATCAGCTTCTCTTCCCACCGAGGGGAGACTGGAATGGCATTAGGCTCTGTCGCTACTGCGCACATCACACCTCTACCACGATTTGACGGGCTAGCACGTTTGCCTCCCACAACGTCTAGGCTCCCTCGTTTAAACGTTGAGATTGCTGTTCTGTCGGCAGTGCGGTTGTCGAGGAATTTAATGCTGCCCGCTCCTGTCCTCGTACTACCAGATGTTCGACTGTCGCGTGCGTAGTGGCCCATGCCTTCGCAGTTCCGACACGTTTCTCCAGGTTTGCGTAACTTCAGATCGCCGGTTGGACAATTCTTAGCCGTTTGCCGTTTGCCCTAACACTGGTAACATATCATTTCTGTTCGGTCACCCGATGCCTGCTCACGTGGAAGCTCCGCTGCTCTTCCTGCCAGACTAAGTTGGAATTCCCGTTCACGCCTACGGAATTCCTCCCGTACGGCTTGCCACGAAGCGACGATAGAGGCTAATGCCTTGGATGCAGCCCGCCAATTACTGAATTGTATCGTGCCTCGCTGTGTTACGGCCCATCTAAGTTCCGCTGGGATATTCGTCAAGAAGTAACCAACTAGGTCTTCTGCCGAGAGCTGAACTCCTCGAGCCGCGATTCGACTGAAGTTAGCCGAGTAGGCGCTGCAGTCCAGTCCATTTGTTAGCTGCCATTTGGTAAATGCGTGTTGCTCGATCTACCGTGCAGAAAGTTTTTAGTAGTTCCTGTTTAACGAGTGACCAATCAGTCATGTCCGCACCGGATCGTAGCAGGTCCGTCCAACACCGTAGGGCTTCCTCATCGAGGTATTCCCCGAGGTCATCACCCCAAAGCTCTGGCGGAAGACCCCTCGTCATGAACCGTAGCTCCATAAGCGTCATAAGGGAGTCCATATTACTGCCCTTCTCCCGAGGAATAGGCGGCGCTGGTGCGGAGGTCGACCGCTGTCCACTCATCTGTTGAAGGCAATCTTTCTATTTGTCGCTTTAACTTAGCTATTCTCGGGCTGTTGCCCGTGTGGCTGCATTTCCGCGACCGGTTTCTTTGGAGCCAGCAATAGAGGAAGTTCTCGAGATGCTGAACTGGCTGAGGCGGTAGGTAGAGGTGCCGAAGGGCGGCTGGGTCGGCTTAATCCCCGTGCTGTGGACATTCCGCTCGATGGTGTGTCAGGTGCACTTATCACCCGGCCGTTACGCAGGTGCATGACGATTATCTACCTGGAGTCAGAGGCCCCCAGGTCCGGTGAATGAAGTTGTTTGTATGAAATAAGTGTGTACTGCTGTTGTTTTGTCTTAATTTTAATAATATATATTCCGGAACAGCCCCCAAATGTAGTGAACAGCTGGCCTACACTGTCACTACGTGAGATTCCTAAACTATACTGAATAGGTGCACACACTGTATCCAGATACCAAATTCTACGATTCTCGCTGTAAACCACTAATAAACACAATTAACAATCCAATGTACGATCGAGTTTTTATTATTGTTCCCAAAGAAAACCCAGAATAATAGAACTGATTCCCGACCCTCGCCGAGGGCGTGGGCCAGGGTCAGAGCAACAGCCTCGCACCCAGCCTCAAGCCGGTGCAGGCTGGCGAGCACTCTGATCCTACTAAGCTGCTTTTCTATTTAAAAGTGTCCCAATCCCTGAAACATTCTATAGTATTCATTCCTTTTCATGATATTAGGCCTCTAGAGGCCACGCCAGAGCCCCTTTGTATTGCCTGTGCACTACACTTTTTCTTCTCCTGCAGCGGATTGTGTCCAAGTGCGCTAGCTGCCCAATTAATTTTGCCTTTGCTTGCCAGTTCATCTGCTTTTTTCTCGAATTTTCCTCGAAGATGTGCAGGACAACTGTACCTTGAAGCAATGCTGGGGACTGCTACGGCAGTGAGTTCAATGCGGAGCATTGGGCATCCAGCGGATGGTCCGCCCGCTGAAAGCTCTTTGTTACTTATTTCATCCGACTTCGTTTAACCTTGCCATATTCTGCTGTTCCTGTGGTAATACGTGGGCAAGACGCCCCAAACAGCGGCCGTCGTAAGACCACCATCGCGGTGTGCATGCATTTCTCCGATGTCCCTTCGAGCACTTCGATACTGCGTAGAAGCCTCTTTACTCCTTTTTCTTTTGGGAACCGCTTGTACTCCACTTGGGAGAGGTGCACTCTCTCCGTGATTCCCAGAACATAAACCTCAGCATGGTCATATGAAGCCGAACTTGCGCCCTCCACTGCGTCATGCACAGCATGCCTACGTTGTGGGGAACTGGCCCAGCATAGAAGTACTGTATCATCATAAGGACCCATGAATAAATGGAGTCCGCATCTTACAAGTATAATTTTGCCGATTATCGTGTGCAGTCTGCCGTCCGCGGTGCCTCGCCGCAGAGACTACGCCAACGAGTAGAAAGGTACGTAGTGAACCGGGCTCTCAACTAACCCCACGCATCGGTCGTGTGTATACGCATTTAGGTGCACATTGGATATTTACACGTTACGCTCAGCGCATAACCTTCGAAATAACCTTAAAATATGAAGGAACAGTCTAATATTCGTACACAAGGTCTAATCCTCCCACAGGAGGAAGAGTACTTACAATTCTGTGGCCAGTGCGGGCCCCTTGCGGAACCACTCCGCAACTACTGTGCCAATCGCACAACCAGCTCCACACGGTGGGTAGCTGCCGAACGCTCTAAGCCTGATGACCTTGTTTCCTCTCTAAAGCTACTTGATACATCTGTAATATTATTTACACTCTGCCGGATAGACCTCTACAGGTCCAATTTGAGTATCATTGAAGTGAGCGTGCACTACAGGCAGGCTGCATTTCCTTGATATCTTTAGACATTAGATCCACCTCGCAGCATGCGTCAAGTAGAGTCACTAACTCCTGAGCATTATTACGAGCTTGGATAAACAGAAAGTTTAGTTGCGGCGGATCTGGACGTGCGGCTGGTATCCCTGGCGTCCTCACTAATGCGCCGGACGCTGCGCCGGGGGGGCCACGACATTTTCCTAATAGCTTTGGTTTTGTTCCCTGACGGCGGCGGTAGAATTCTGGCTTCTCCAGTGTCTTAGCTATTTTCAGACACCTGCAATCCCGGCTTATGTGACATTTATGGCTCGGAAAGGAGCTACGAAACTCGGTATTTATCCCCAGATCTCCGATTGGCGACTGCCGTCTGTTCTCACTTCTCGTGTTTTTTTGGGAGAGGCTGGCCTTGACAGCCCAAATATCCGTAGGTTTTATATCTGAGCAGGTTCCAAATATGTTCCTTCTCAGCTATAGCCCTGTGAGGCCTTCTTTTCTGTTCGACGTAGAAGTACTCCATCATCACGGCTGGTTCATCATTTTTATCCCTTAGTTCCTTCTTTAAAGCCCAGCAGGTTACCTGCTGGGCCTTAAAGAAGGTCCCTTTCTCCAAGGAACAGTCGTGCAATGACCCACTGACAGAGGTGTTCAGCGTCCACCGTTGGACTTTTGTTCACCAGGGCCTGATCCTTCTCATTGTAGAGCTCTATCGACGACTTTCCCTACTTAACGTTTCTCATTTTTTCAACAGCTAGTTCCCTTGCCAGCTTGAAGATAAACCCACATCACAGCACATTTCAGAAGGCTTCCATAGCCTGGCTGCACACTGCGACAATGGGGCCTTCTGCCTAGATCTCAGCATCATTGCCTTGCCTTCCCTTCGAAAAACGATGATGCCAATAGCAAGTGTAGCTCCACGGGTGCATTGTAGAGGAGACGAAAATACAATCTCGGAAAAGCATGGAACTCTCCACTGCCAACTCACCCCCGTCGCTCGCCCCAGGAGCAGCCGGCCTTTCCCCTGTCCCGCCCAATGTTGTGCCCATCATGTCTGGAAGGCTCGCAGAGACGAAGGCTCTCCTCACGATGTGCATTCTACTGGATGGGATGCAGATGATAAGCTGGTTTCAATGCCACACGGTGACGATTGCCGTTGGTCACTTTCATTTGAAGCGTTCAACGGCGGTCCCCGCGAGAGGGCAGATCCGAATCATCATCCGGTATGCACGAGAAGAGAGCATATGCTTGCATGAAGATCTTCGAAGAGCATCTAAAGTCTTTCCTGCCGATTTTCTAGGAACCCCCCGTAGTAGTCATCCCCATGCACCTGAATGCACTGCTGTCGGGGTGGTGCTCGTTGCTCACTCCTGTGCCGATGAATTATGCGGAGCTGCCATGCATAGCGTGGGTCCTCTATCTTACCCGAGGGCGCTGGTGAGCTGTAACACAGTCAAAAATACTCAAGATAAGCGCTACTAGAAAAAGGTAACCTCCCTTGCAGTCCCCAGGCATCCTGCCACAAGGTGCCAAGGATCTAAGGGCTGGCTCGAGAGAAAGCGGCCATACAGGAATTGCCACGCCCCTCGCAACTAGTGCTATGGAGCAAAACCGTATGGAAGCATAGCCAAGTTCCTTTCTGTGTGATGCGTGCAGCACATCCACCAACGTCGGGCACATGCTATAATATCCGGGAAGGTTACAAGATTTTCGGGCAAAGACCCACGACAGCTTATTGGTGCAGTATAGAAGCACCCTCAGCAATATGCTTCTCGTCCGAATCTCCCACACGCTTCTCCAAACCATACAGCGCTCCCGAGTGCAACGTGACGAGAACTACGACCCGCAAGAGTCAAAATACTTACCGGAAATGTGTTCAGTTCCCCTTACTCTCCAGGATTCCTGGGCACAGCAGCACAAAGGCCCAGAGCTAGTCCGGAGAGCAGGCGCCCTTTCGCACGTTGCACCCCTACATGCCGGAATTCCTGCTGTAAGGCAAGCCTCCTTACAAGCGTGCACAAGCCCCCTTTGATGCATGCGCTACCAGTGAGTTGAATTGCTTAACGCTCAATTGGCCCTCATCAACAAACCTGCATGCAAGCAGAAAAGCATGCAACTTGAGATGCTACGGTTTTACATGCCACTTACGGTGACTACCAGTGAAAAACCCGACAGCTGGATATTTACTCTTATTCCCATTCTGTTTCTCCAAGGGATGCTTGAATTATTTATATTTTGGACGCTAGTGGCAGGTGTGATACACAGCGTTGATCCCTGTGTGTTTACAAGCCAGCCGCCAGCCGTCCGCTCATTCGTTTCCGTCTGTGCAGTTGGGGCTTTATAAACCGCCGGCCAATTCACAGTAGGGGCCTTCTTTACTTGCTTATTTGGTGTGTCTCTGAATTTTGAAAATCACGTTTTTATAGAAAGACAACGAGACACGAGGGGATCTCGTGCCTTCCTTCTGGCCTCCTTCCGACGTATCTGGTGTCTCGTCACCCATTTGCTTTTTTCTGAATTTTTTGAGTTCGTTTGGGTTAAATAGAACAGGGGATCCACGCCGTTTGTAAACTGGGTTTGTATATTGCTGAAAAGTTCTCTAGTCGCCGCCTGGCTGCTGTTTCTCATTGCAAACTGTTCTCTTTTGCACGGCCCCGCGCTTTTCATGGCAGACATACAACACTTACTTTTTCATGTTTCACCTGCACGTTGTATACGGTTCGAAGTGAATGCCCTAGATATATCTTCTCCTGGCGTTAAAGCTGTAGAGCCTCGCCAACCCGCACACCCCCTCAGCATTAGACCATGGGCCTCATTTCTGCACGGCTTCTGGCCGTGTTGGGGGCCTTTGCCCTTGCCGACAGTTCTTTTGAGTTTAATCTCTTGCCTCTCTTTACGAACTTCGTGAATGCTGATCCGTCTCAGCCCGGAAATCTGTACGCAACCCTCGGGCTGAAGAGGAATGCAACAACCACTGAAATCAAGAAGGCCTACCGGAAGCTATCCATGAAATTTCACCCCGACAAGAACAAAAGTCCCGATGCAGAGGCGAAGTTCCGCGAGATTTCATATGCGTATGAAGTGTTGAGCAATGCAGAGCAAAGAAAGGTGTACGACGCGCAGGGCCACGCAGGACTGGAGAGGTGAGCCGACCTTTTTTGTTTTTCTGAAGTTGCCCAACTTGCAGCTCAACTCGTTTGCTTTTCAGGAGTGAGACGTTTTTTGGCGAGAAATCAGCATGCGGCAACAACAACCCGTTAACACGCGGTAACCCTATGCGTTCAGATATTAGGAATTACGTGCTGCTGCTGGCTGCTTGTCCCTTGCGTTTTTCTTCATGTAGGCTGAAACAAGGAGCAGGACAGGATTCTGGACATCCATTTGATGTATTTTCTGAATTTTTTGGTGGATTTGGGGGTTTTGGTGGCTTTGGAGGCAGAGGGGGGGCCCGCGAGATTCCGCAGGCTCCCAGCACTGTGCTGAAGTTGCCTGTAACTTTAGAGCAGATCTACGATGGCGTGAGTTTAGACTTTAGTTTCTCTCGGCCTGTCCTCTGCATCAATGCAGATGAGTGCATGATGAAAAAGAAAGAATGCAAGGGGCCGGGAATCCGTATTATCACTCAACAAATGGGCCCGGGGTTCATCGTTCAGAATCAAATTCAAGATGATTCCTGTGTAGATCAGGGCAGGGCGTGGATTCAAGGATGCAAAGTGGGTGTTATTTCTCTCTCTTTTGCTTCTTCTCTCTCCCTCCTCTTCTTCATGAGAGTTTGCTCGTCAATACACCGCCTCGGCTCCCAGTTCCTTCAGCGTCGGGCTAGAAACAGACAGACCCAGGAGAAAGGGTGTGACGGTCTTTAGGATGAGCTGCTGTTGTTTGCCATTTAATATGCTTAGGGTACTTGTGCGTGCCTCTTCAGGAGTGCCCAAGCGGCATCACGGAATTGGAGTCAATCGAACTTAGTGCAACTGTCGAACGCGGAATGCAAACGGGAGAGAAAATAATGTTTGAGGGGATGGGAGAGAATCGCATAGGCCATGAACCCGGCGATTTAATTCTTATTGTAGAGGAGTTGCCGCATTCTCGGTGAGTCTAAGCCCCGTGAAGTTGTGTATACATAACACAACTATATAATTTTATTACATTTATTAACGCCTCTTTCTGTGAAACGACGGGGTGTGTTTACAGCGAAGCTGCTGGCCGTAGTAGTATCTTACTTATTTTTTGTTCAATTTCTTGTTTTGTTTGTTTTGTTAGGTACACGCGAAGAGGGAACGATCTGCACATGACGCTGCGCATTGACCTCATGCAGGCTTTAGTTGGATTTGAGCTTAAATTCGATCATCTGGATAAGAAGGAAGTGCAGATTCAGAAATCTTCTGTCACCTATGACGGCGAAGTAATCAAAGTTAAAGGCAAAGGAATGCCGAAAAGAGGCAACACTGCAGCATACGGAGATCTGCACGTTACGTGCAAAATCAAATACCCCAAACAACTCAATGACAAACAAAAAAGACTCATTAAGGAGGCGCTCGCTGGCGTTCCGATGGAGGTCTTCAACTAAAATGCCCTGGGGAACTTTCGAATACAAGTGTATATAATATATATCCATATGCATATGCATGTATAAATGTGCCCCTGCATGTGATGTATACCATATATTTGTACATATACACATCATTTACACATCAAGTATATATATATATATATATATATAT